TTATAAAAAATTAATTATAAAATAAAATCAATTTATTAAAGCTTATACTATGTCGGTGTTATTATTGTTATTATTGCTATTATTGCTATATTGTATTATCGTGTTAGTTCAGAACTATATATATTGTCCGAAATTTGTTATATTTCAGTCGATTTCAGTTGTTAAAAATTCTTTCAACATTATCCATAAAAAATTGGACATATTCAGTATTAAAAAAATTCTTTCAGAACAATTCCGGATATAAAAAATTTGGTCATTTTTTAGGTCAAAAGACGCACATATTCCGGATATATTCAGGAATACCCTGATATTTTTTACCATAAGTTATATTGTGGTTCTGCAACACGTTTATGCTCATTCCGTTTTTTGAATGCTTCTGTGTCTGCCAATTTTAATAGTTAATATTAAAATTAATAAAAAAGAAGAAAAACTTTAACATAAATAATTGCTTATTAGTTACCCGCTGAAATAATAGTAAAAATAAAAATCAATAAAAAGTATCTTAATTACATATTTGATTTTATTATATGATATAAAAAATAAAAATTTTTCTATTTGTTGTTTGATAATTTTTTTTATAGAAAATTTTCTCTCTTCTTCTTCAAAGTGTTTACGTAAGAAAATTTCTACAGTAACACGTATTTCAAATTATTTCATGATTACATCGTTTCATATTATTACGATGTAAACCACGTTTTTCTACATTTTGGCATATTAAAAATCCACAATTGAAGTAGCAGAGCCACTTTAAATTAATAATGTGAGAATGCGAGATTTTGATTTTGAGCCGCAATCATCTGTTTTATTAATGAGGGCGAAGTAAAAGAGACGTTACGAGAGTATTTTTGCCACTTTTTTTTACATTGCGCCACAATCGGAACGAACAGTGCCACTTTTAATTAATAATGTGGTAATAAATGTTTTCCTTTTTTTTGTATAAAAAAAAAGTAAATAAAAGTAAAAATAAAAAAATGATTTTTTTAAAAAAAATTCGTGTTCAAAATGGTAATACCAAAATCGTGTGTATAATTCAGCATTGTTGTATGATATAAATTAAATAAATCAAATAATATTATATTACCTTTAATAAAATTTTTAAACTTGTTTTTTTTATTTTATTATAAATGATTAAATTTTTTTAGATTTATTTTTATTCCGATTTATTCCTTAAGATAGGATTGTAAATATTGTACTGATTTTTTATTTAATTTGAAAAAAAAAAAGATATACATAAATTGAATATATAAATTACATATATTCTCTATCTGTTATGATTTGCGCTAAAAGTCGTTATATACGGTCCCTAAATACGAATAATAATTCAAATTGTCTATGAATGATCTAATGCTATTACCAAATATTTTTTTTTCTTTAAAAAAAAAAAAATTCCATTTCGTATTTCTTATATATTGTATTTTATAATTTTTAATTTGTTTTGTCTTCGCTAATATTACTTTAATATCTATCTAATTAAGAATTTAACTTACCAATTTTAGTTTGATATCCTAATTATACACTAACATTTTCAGAGTTTGAATGATATTCAATTTAGACGTTTAAGTTCCTCATACTATTAGCAGATCGTGCAACAATCACATGGTTATTTCCATAAAATGAACCTAATAAAAATATGTTTCCCCCTTTTTTTTTTCTTTCTTTTTTTTTAAAGAAATAAAAAAAATGGCTTCAAATTTTCACTTTCGTCTTTCAGAAGACCTTTCCATAATATTAGATGATGCAGATGATTATAATGTCATTATTCAAGTTGGTGAAAACCAAAATACAAAGGAATTTCGTGCACATTCTGTTATTTTACGTGCTCGTTCTCCTTATTTTAAAAGTGCTCTTTCTACAAATTGGATTAAAAAGAAGGATAATATGATTATATTTAACAAACCAAATATTACTCCAACTGTTTTTCATATGATTTTGAAGTGAGGATTATTTATTTATTTTTTTTTTATTTATAAATTTGAAATTTAAATTTATTAATTTATTTTAAATATATGATTTTTAATTAGATATATTTACACTGGTGAACTTGATTTAACTAAACAATCAGGTGAAAATATTCTTGGTTTGATAGTTGCATCTGATGAATTACTTCTTGAAGAATTATTTAAAAATGTTCGAGATTATTTAATAGAAAAACGAACCAAATGGGTTCAAGAAAATTTTGTTCTTGTTCTTAATACTGTGTTTAGACTTGATAATTGCAAGAAATTACAAGATTATTGTCTTGAATCTATTTGCGAAAATCCTTTACCATTTTTTTCTTCAAAAATCTTTCCTTCAATAAATAAGGAAATACTTTTTAACTTGCTTGAAAGAGACGACTTACAAATTAAAGAAGTTATCATTTGGGATTATTTAATTAAATGGGGTATTGAACAAACTTTTGGTCTTGAGAATGAGAATAGTGATAGAGCGAAATGGAATAATAAGGATTATGAAGAATTGAAGAAAACTTTAAATCAATTTATTCCTCTCATTCGATTTACGGAAATTTCTCGTGCGGATTTTTTTGATAAAGTCCGTCCTTATAGAACTATTATTCCTAATCATATTTATGAAGAAATTGAAGAATATTATTATAAAGATGTCTTAACTAAAACCACAATTTTACCACCTAGAACTGGTTATTCATTTGGAATAGGAAAGTTTGAGTCAAATATCATCAAACCAAAACTTGCAAAAATAATAATTAATTGGATTGATAAAAAAGATACCAATTATATTCGTACTAGTAGAAATGATCAATCGTATAAGTTTAAACTTATTTATCGTGGTAGTCATGATGGAATTAGTAATGAGTCATTTAGAAAAAAATGTAATGGACGAGTAAAAAGTTTAGTTTTAATTAAAGTTAAAGATTCAAATAAAGTTTTTGGTGGATATAGTTCTATCGGGTTTTGTTCATTAGGAGATGATTATATTTTTAAAGATGGGTATCGATTTTACAATTCATCAGATAATTTTATTTTCTCATTTGAAGATAGTGAAGATACTCAACATATGAAAATAAGTCGGGTAGTAGATAAATCTCAAGCCATATTGGATAGTGATTATAATGGATTCAATTTTGGTTGGGGTTCATTATCTATGGGAAATGTAATTTTACATGCTAATAATAATAGCAATAATTATGAAAATAATTTAAAGACTGATACAGTTTATATTATTGAAGAAATTGAAAGCTTTAACATATCTTAATATCTTATCAATAATTTTATTATTAATAAATTATGGAGGTAAAAATATCGGTTTCCCCGTAATCCATCAATAACTACTGTATTATTTTACATGTACAGTATATAAATAAACATGTTAATTATTGTAACTCTAGAACGAATTAAGAATTTTATTTAACATACTAATTAACATAATTTGTTACTGTATTGTCATGAATACTATAAACATCTTGCTGGAATAATATTTTAATATATTATCTTTACGATAATTCTTTGATGAATTATGACCGATGCATTGCAATGAAATATGAATCATATTAATGGTTTTACTTTAAATTTGTTTTTAAATTCTCTATGTAAATATAATTCATTGTATAAAAAAGATTTCTTATCTATAATGTATCTTATTAATCATTTTCTTTATGATTTACATTTGATTTAAAAATAACCCTATTAAGAAACTCAAATAAACTAGTTTCTTGTGAATTCAATCTAAATTATATTTACAATAACGATAATCTTACAAAGAGCGAAGAATTTTTCAGAATTTAATCTGTATGTAATTTCATTTGCTCAACAACCTTATTTAATTGCACGATTTCAAATGACAACTTCTTAAAAGAAATGGCTTAAAAGTTTTTAAATTGAAAATTTTATACTAAAAGTTGTTATTTTCAATTTATGATGTGTTTGTAAAATAAAGATTCTGATGTAAACAATCGCACTTTGTTGCTGGGAATGTTAATTTTCTCATGCTTAAACTGATTCTAATCGAATAAATGTACGTAGAATTTATTTACTATAAAGAGTAATAGGAGATTTATACTAGTACATTTAAGTTCTTTTTCTTGAAACAGCGCAACCTTAAGCTTAAATTGAAGCTGCTTAAGCAAATTGAAATTCCTACTTTTATGTTATAGAAAAAGAATTTTGATGCACCAAATAATTTACAATAAAAATTTTTTATCGTGTAAATACATAATAAATTTTTATGGAATTAACAAGAGGTTTTTGTAAAAAAAATGACCATTTAAACTATTTATTATAAATAAAAACAAATTTATTAACATAGATAGAACGTGTACTAGAGATGGTCAGTCGGTCCTGCGGTCTTTGATCGGTCCTGATCGGTCTTTAGGAAATTTTTGGAAAAGTAATAAGGCTGTGCTTCCAATTTTTTGTAGCACAACAGAACTGATTAAAGACCAAAAAGTGGTAAATTTTGGTCTTGATCTAATCACCCAATTTAGAGCTAGGCAGGTTTTTATTTTGCCAAAACCAGTATTTTTTGCTTTTTTCGGTCTTTTTCCAATTTCGCCTCTGCTGGTCTTAAAAAAAGAAGTATAAAGGCCAAATTTTGACATTTATTGGTCTTTAGCCATACTTGCTGCGCCTTAAAAATTCAAGGGTGCATTCCTTATAACTTTTCCAAAGACCGGGCAGGACCGTCCAGGACCGAAAGACCGACTGACCATCCTTAACGTGTACGCAATATCTTGTTATACTTTCATGAAGTTGATATAAACAAGATTATTCTTTCAACTTGTTTTAATAAATTCATACATAACGAATAGAGTCATCTGTAATAATCTTATGTTTATGACATAAATTTACGTAATTTTCGCCTAAATCAATATACGGTAGTAAATATATTTAATAATTTGAATAAATTTATTTAAAATTATTTAAATTACAAACTAAGAATTTTGTAAAACATTTGTTTACTACTCTAGTCTTAGTGTTTAAATAATCCAAGATAAAAAAATAAATAAACATAATTTAAAATATAAAAAAACATTGTTAAATGATTCAAAATCCATCTAAAGTTAAAAAATAACAAATTATAAATTAATTATTTGCTTTAAAAAGAAATTTAATTTATTTAAGAACTTACCATCAGGAATTTCCAGTTCATCTTGTTCTTCTGAATGAAGATTTGGATTATTATATACTTCGTCTTCATCTATAAGAAATAAATAATTAAATTAAAAAATAATATAAAAATTAAATTAAAAATTAGCATACCATCAATATCACCAATATTTTGTCTTTTCGTTCTTTGTTGAATTATTTCTTTTTCATCATCTAAATTTTTAAATTAAAGCTACATTAAATAAAATATATTGACAAAATAATTTTTATTTTTTTTTTGCTTACCATCAATATCAATATCTTTCCTTTTCATTTGTTGTTGAATTATTTCTTTTTCGTCATATTATTTTTTAAAATAAAAGTCACGTTATTTAATAAATGAAACTGATACAATGAATATTATTATTTCGCTTATTTACTTACTATTTGAATTTATCTGCAAATTTATAAATTCTTTGGGTAATTTTTCACTATCACCTAAAATTAAAAACATAGAAATAGATTTTAATATTTTTAAAATCTTTATTTCAAACAAATCATCTTTAAATTATTTATTGATAATTTCTTACTATACTGCTTATTTGATCCATTAAAATCGTTAACTAAAACAAATATTAATTGTTAAACATCAATATATAATACTTCAACGCTATAACATTAAATACAGTACTTACTATTTTTAGGAATGTTAAAATCATACAATTTACTATGAAACACTATTAGTAGTAAATTAAAGTATTAAATATTTTAAAAACTGAATTATTATAAAAAATTGTAGAAATTATTATTTATACGGTTATACCTTCTTGTTCTTCTATTATAATATAAATTCAAAAATAGATAATATTAATAATATATTTTAAAATAAATACATTCATTAATAAATATTATACACTTATACCTTCTGTTGCATTTCTTGGTTCAGGTAGATTTCCAAAGTTGTGGATTTTACTTGTAAATAATCTGCTACTCGTATAATTTTCTTCTGCTTTATTCATTTCTAATTTATCTACTATTTCTGATTTGAATAATTCATCTGACATATTTTGATAATCTAAATTAATTCTTCTCATTTTTCTCTCAAGTGCATAAACGTCAGGTCTTTTTAATGGATCAACATCCCAACATTCTTTCATTAAATTTTTATATTCAAATGGAGTTCCTGGCACAATTTTTGGTCTTATACCGTTAATAATATTCATTACAATATCATTTTCATGTTCATAATTTATAAATGGTGGTTGTCCAGATGAAATTTCCCACATAAGAATTGCAATACCTGTCTCTTATACACATCTAGATGTGTATAAGAGACACTTGTTGAAGATTTATCAGCAGGTCCACAAAATCCAAGATCACTAACATGCCAAGAATTATTAAGTTGAGAATATAATATATTTCCGGAATGTAAATCTCTATGAATTGCTTTCTCTTTACGAATAAAATAAAGTGCACGAATTATTTCATAAGTAATATTAATTCTCTTTTTCCATGTAAGTTGATTATGATTTTGTTGTAAATATTTTCTTAAATCCGTATCCTCTTTGATCATTACAAGCATATAATTTCCATTTGATGGATTTTGTGTTAAACCATAACATCGAACAACAACTGGCCATTTATTACTTATAGTTAAATGTGATTTAGCCTAAAGGACAATAATTTGTAAAAATACTAGTGCTAATACAAAAAATTACAACAATTTTATGAAATATGGAATACTATAATACAAACCTCTTCAAACCAACTTTGATTTGCACTTTCAACATTTTCTAATTTTTTTAATATTACTTCGCCATATCCAAATCTTTTTAATTGTTTTTTTTCAGAATCCCATTCTACATAATCTCCATTAATCCAATCTGCTGTATAAATTTCTGAGAATCCACCTTTTGTTAAATATTTAATATTTTCTAAATTACTATATGGGATCCATTCAACTATTTTACTCGGCATGAGTGATTCCATTTGACATTTCTGTATTAAATTATCAATATCATCATTCCCGGATGTCCAATTTGGAAAATTTTCTTTTAAATAATTTCGAACACAATATTCACAATATAATGTGGCTAAACATTCTTGGTTACAATCTTCACAAATTCTTCTTGTACCATCATTTTTTATAACTTTATCTCGATCATAATCTATAGTTAACTCTCTTATTGCTTCAGTTTTTTCATCATTTGTAAGAATTTTATCAGCAAGGACTGTTTGTTTTTTAAATTCAAATTGTTTGTGTATATCATCGTAAATATTAGTATCTGTTAATGTTAATGCTCTATTGTTTGTTGCATAAATTAACTCATATCGAAGAGTGGACATAATGATAAAGAAAGAAATAATTATTTTTAAGTTCGTTACTCCGAGATAAATTAGTAAAATGCAAATTGTTGATCAAAACTTCATGTTGTGCCCACATAAATTTTGTGACCTTGAGGCGTAATATTTTACGCCTCATAACCAAAAAAAGAAAAAATATTACTATCATTTATTATCTGTTATCGTACTAGTATAGTAAAATTTACTTTTTTTTATTTTTTTTATTTTTTTTCAGCGAATACAATTTGTGTTTAACAAATTTGATTGTCATACTTAATGAATAGATAATATCCTTGATTATTGATTAATATTCAAATAATTTGATAAACAAAATTATTAATTTGTTATTATTTATTATTTTTAAATCTTATTTAAAAAATCAATATAAACTTGATTGATGAAAAGTCAATTTAGTTATTTTCAATTGAATTTATTTTAAATAAACAACGTGGCGAATAATGAATATGAAAGATTATAAGAAACCATTCAATTTATTATTTCTACTAAAAAAGTCATATCTAAGAGAAGAATTTCTGTAGAATTATAATAATTATTTTTTTTAAGATGTAACGATCGCAAATATAGGTCAGGTTTAAATAAAAATATATGGTTTAATAAAAAAAAAAAAAAGTTTGAATTGAATGAAAGAAATGATTACGTAACGATTAAGCGTAATAATAAATAAGGAATAGATCAGGCGCAAAGTATATCACGGGTTTTCATATTATGGCACGGGTTTTCATGTTACACAATTTAAATTATTTAATTGGAGACTATTCTAAACGGCAGAAATGAATAACTTTAGTTATATAGATTAGAAAAATGTTCATTCACCAATTTATAAATTAAAAAAGGGACAACTGATTTTATGGGCCAATAAATGTAAAATTTTTATGATTTGTGGCATGAATAATAATTTTTTTAATTTTTGAAAAAGATTTAAACAAAGGTGTGAAGATATAATTTGATCGACAATAATGAAAACATTTTTTAAATATTTCGTAATAACAATGTTGCATCAAATTATCATCATTAACGCCAACTTTATTATAGTAATCAAAACTACGAAAACACATTTTTAATTCTGTTAAATTAATAAAAATTATAAAATTTGAAGTTGACAAATGAATACAATTAAAAAGTTCAAGAATTCTTAAAGAATTTGAGAATGTTTGATAATTTTCTTTTTGAAAAGATTAACCATCTGTCTGACGCGTATAAATGTGAGAATATTTGTACTTGTATTATCATTATAATTTCATACGGACATGAATCTGAGAGACCTCTAATAAATAAATTGATATCATATTATTATTAAAACTCAATACGTTTTAATATATGTCAGAAATAATTTCTTCAGGATAAGAAATAATACTAATCGTTAATATTCACCAATTACTCTTGAAGAATGTAGGATAAAATATAATTAAATTTTATTGATTTTGTTATAATAAAAGAGTTTATCAAGTTTTATTTATGAGATTACAAGAGAATTTTTTATTAATTGTCAAAATAATTAATTATGAATTTCAGTTGGTATCGTCAAAATAATCTATTAAATAATGATTCTTCAGTTATTTATTGCAAAATATTCCAAGATTTCTTTAAGTAATACAATACAATACAATCTTTGAAATTGCACTTGATTTTTCTTTAAAATGTAATTTCTAATTAATTAATTGAAACAATTATTCTATGAATATCTCCATTAATAAAGATCAATTGCCATTTTTATGTCCCATAGACCTATTAATAATCATTTCAATTAGTTAACGTTATCGTGGATGCAGTACATTTAAAGACACTACAACTTTTTATACGCTCAAACTATATATAATACTGCCCCAAAATTAATAATTTCACTAGATAATTTCAGGTTCTAAAGTATTACTGTACTGTACGTTAAAGTTTTGAGGCAAATCTTAAAAATTGATGAGCAATAATTTTATTATGGGTGCAACATGATTTTTGCTACTGCCTCACCCAGCATCCTGTAGTGAATCGAAAGCACTAAAAAAAAAATCTCAATCAAATTTTTCCCGTAAGAAAAATTTGTTAAAATTCAAAGGAACCTGGAAAACTCCAATAAACTTAACCCTTCTCCCCCCAATCCTGAGAATATTTATTAACATAAAATTCCAATGGAACATTCGATTAATCATCAATCAACTTGTGCAACGAACAATTTGTTGCGCCCATTAGACTTACCCAATCATCAATCGGCTAACAATAATATAATCAGTCTATAAATTTCTAACTAAAATAATACAGCAAGAACTACCCAATAAAATATAATACAGCAATATAATACAATAATATAATAAAAACTAGCTATATCTATATTAAATAATCAATTAAGTCACTGAAAAAAAAAAATTTTTTTCAACATTCAGCTTTTCTGCTATTTGAGTAGAAACATTTTTATTAACTATTTAGTAAAGTTCTCTAAATTTATCTATTGAATTATGAATTACTTATGGGTGTGAAGAATGTAAACAAGAAACCACTGATTATAAATGGTATAAAACATGTAATGCAAAACATTTCAATAAAATTTTAAAAATTGGAATAGTGGTAACGATAATATTGACAAATTTATTCAAGAAACTCAACTATCAACAATCGGTCGTTATAAAGTATTAGAATGAATACCTTACAATATATTTTATGATATTGAATATACTGTATATTACAAAAGGTGGGTTTTGGAAAAGTATATAGGGCGTAATAAACAGCTATAAAAAATTACCTTTTTTATCGAAAAATTTTTTAAATCAAAAGGGAAAATCATGCATGATCCAAACAATGAGTATCAAATTTCTCTTTACATTTATTTTATAAAAAAAAAAAACTAAAACTAAATATTTTTTTTTTCCAACCATAAAATAAAAAATCAAATTTCCTTTTATAAATATGCTTTATTTTACTATTGAAAAAATAGTCATAAAAATTAACTAGATCGGCATTATTATTAAAAGCATGTCTCAATTGTCTCATGTAACGATTGTATCGGGGTCTATACCAAATTTTAATTTAGTTATTAATAATTTAATAATTAACAAAACAGGAAGCTTCTGACTTACCATGGTTATTTGCCAAGTTACAAATGATCTGTGCACATCACCAGATCTGAGAGTTCCCGATTCTAAAAGACAAAAAGGAAAAATAATAAGATTAAAGTCTCGAAATAAAAAAGAAATCCTAAATGGTGCTTACTATGGTAATGCAATGCCTCGCCAAACTCGGTCTAGATCCAAAAAAAATGATGCATACGAAAAAAATTTTTCAAAATTTAAATGTATGAAACTGTAGTACTGCAGCAATAAGTGCGTTTCCTGATTCATGAGTTCTAATCCTAAAAGACGAAAAGAAAAAATAGGAAAAAAAAATTAGTAGATAGGATAATAAAAACATTTTGAAGTGAAAAAAAAAAAAAAAAAAAAAAAAATACAAAATTGGTGCATACCATAGTAATAAACGGTAAGCACATCTCCTGATCTGTAAGTTTCCAAAAGACAAAACAAAAATTAGTAAAAAGAAAATAAGTTACAAATGAAAAGCAAATATGAAAATCAGTTCTTACTGTTGTAACACAGAAACTTGAACCCAACCTGAACTAAAAAGATGAAAAAATAATCAGTGAAAAATAATTAAATAAAAAAATGATGAAAACTAAGGTAAATATGAAACTTTACATTTACCATAGTATCATAATAACTCGTTGAATCTGATCTGGACCAAAAAAAATAATTAGTGAAATAATTAAACGGAAGGTAAATACAAAACCATTACCGTAGTACTGGAAATTTTAATGGCTTCTATTTCAAAGTGGCGCCGATAAATTACTTTCCGATATGTAATTTATAAAATAAAGTTAAAAAATCCGAATGAATCTAATACCCGGTATTCAATTCATAACCGGCATAAATTAAACCATTTCAAAAAATCTCTAATAATAAACTTTCATATGATACTTTACATATGTTTTGATTTAATTAATTAATGGTACATCCCAACGTAACGACGTAACGTGCCGGATACGAGCAAAATTATTGGCATCATGATCTTATGGGATACCTATCCAAGTTTTTTGGTGGTTACGCTGTGGGAGATATCATTTAAGGCACAAGTGACCAAGATAACCCAGGGGTTTGAAAAAAGAAACCGGTTAAAAACTGGTCAATCAGAGTATTTTACCGGACAATAACCAGTTCTAATTCGCAAATTGAACTATCATTCTTGTTCACAATTTAGTCTCTTAAATATCAATGAAGAATTGGTTTTGTTTAAATTTCTATTTGAACCAAATTTCTTTATTGGTGTAAAATGTAAACTAAAATACTATAGATTAAATTATGATAACGTGTAATTGATAAAATTTATTTGCTAAATTACAATTAAGTGAATACGGAACAATTAATCATTCATCATTCATTTGTTATTTGAAAAAGCAGTTGAAAAGTACATCATCATAGACGAACAACTAAAGCAAAATTAATTACATTATACAGTATGCAATTAAAAGCTATATAAATAATGATAAAGAATAAATTTTATGTAAATACAAATACTTATAATAGTACTACTACAAGTATTACATTAGTAAAAAAGGATAATTTATTTTCAATTATATCATCGCAATTTTGCATACAGTAAATGATTAGCTTATTAGGCTCAGAATAAACTATTTATTTCCTCCCATTATTTATGCGAATATACTCATTTCCGGAATCCGGATGTGATCAAATATCGTGGCGATCAGAGGATAATCAGAACGAAATACTAATCAGATAAAAGTTTGAATTAAAATATAAAGAACTTATTTTTATTTTCTGAAAATTAGAAATTAAAAATTTAATTCAATGATTGTTTATCATTAATTGAAAATCATAAATTATCCTTTTTACAACTTTGTCTGATCTAAGAATAATTACAATGAATTAATTTGATCTCACTTTTTTCTATCACCTCTTTCCACTCCTTCCTTCCTTTATAACAACAAT